ATGTTAACAACAACAACAACAACAGCAGCAAAAACAACAACAACAACAACCTTGTAACTGTTGTCATCAAGCGAAAGATATTGTTGATGTTTCTGAAACTGTTGGCGTTTGAGAGTAGCACTAGTCGTTGCATGAGTTGTTGTTGTTGTGTTGGCAAGAACATGCTGCAGGTACTTGTTGTACGTGTTGTACGGGATGCCAACATCACTCAAGTCCCTCGCAAAGTCACAAACTTCCGTCTGCAGCTCTGCAAAGGCTGTTTCACATTTCAACAACATCAACAACATTAGCCAGCTGGCCATCCGCAAACAAACTTTTTCTAACATTTAATTTGTTTCCACGTTAATTGTTCAATACTCACTCACTGACCATTGATCATTTTTTTACTCCTCCACTCACTCACTAACTCGCTCGCTCACTCACTCACTTACTCACTCACTTACTAACTCATTCACTCACTCACTCACTCACTCACGCACTCACTCACCAAGCTTGCACTCATTCCTGATGTTACTTTCAAGGACGTCCAACTGCATGTTCAACTTCTTGAACTTGCGCTCAGCTTGAGTGTTTCTGTATTTGAGGATGATGAGGATGACGAAGATGATGGTCAGCAAGGTGCATCCAGAGATTGCTGTTGCTGCAATTAAATGAAAACACATTAAAAAACTTTGTGATTGTATCTCTCATCAAGTAATTGCAAGAATCATTCAATTATTTGTTATTCAACTGAACAATGCAATCTCGTGAACGAGGTGTTTGGTAATTAATTAATTATAAATCTATTAATAATGAAGTAAGTATTACATAGTTATTAATTAATTAATTAATTAATTAATTAACTAATCCAATTAATAGATTGAATTAATTTTTTACTGCAGTGCTTGTGCTGTCGTCAGGTTAGCGTCATCCGTGCTGTAAACACGTTGCACTCGCCAGCAGCGATGCATTCATTATTCGAAGAAATTGCATTATTCCCAATGAAATGAAGTACAAAGTTGTCTCACCAACAAATCACTTATTGTCATAATCATCATCATCATCATTTTTTTTTCTTCATCATCCTCATCATCATCAACAACAACAACAAAACACCAACCAATAAACAATCCACCAATCATCTCCAACATCAACCGACCAACAATCCAGGTGTTTCTGTTGTTGGTGACGTCATCGTCATCATGGAACTCTATCTGGCCCAGGTGGAACAACAAGTTGCCCATTTGTACCTGATGGTGATGGTGATGAAGATAGTGAAGATGGCAATGATGACGATGGTGGTGATGATGGCGGTGATGATTATGGTGATGATGGGGACCAAAATATCATGACGGTTTGAACTATGATGACAAATGGTCAAAAAATTTGACAAAAAATAATTGAAATAATTAAGAAGCGAGTAAAGTTTGCTTAGTTGGAGGAGGTAGGAAAGAGTGATAACCCCAGCAGAGCACAACCACATTCATTGAAACATCGTCGATGATGATGATATAATTAATTATTTGCGTCATTTAGAAAAAAACCATTTAAAATATTAATTGAAATGAGTTGCTGGCCGTTGGGAATAATTGGAAAAAAATTGATAAAGGAGGTTATCAGAAGAAACATGCCTGGAACAGAGTAAGTATGGAAGAAAAAATTTAAGCATACAGTTTCAAACACATTTTTAAAAGTATTTTCTCGTGACAGATTAATTGAAACTTTACTATTAGGAAAAATAAATTGAAAAGGAACAGAAAAACTTCGCCAAAATGTGATTGTGTGGGTGAGAGCGTACCTGTCTATCAAGTCGGGTAAATGGAAGAGAAAAATGAAACGTACTATGATGATAATTAAATAATTATTAAATACCATTGAAAATATGGATTCTGTTTATCCGGCTGAATCATTTTCTTTTTCAGTATAATTTATCATTATTTTATTGAATGAAAATTTTTATTATTATTATTGGTTTTAAGTTTGAAAATCTCCAATTTAATTTGAAGTAATAATAAAAGTTTGACGAAATAATGCAAATCCGTCACAGAGTTGGCTCTCTTTGTTTTTATTTCTCTTTGCTGTTTGGACGGTGCATGTACGTCTCATTCACAAAGTTACAACAGCGACTCGTTCCGCGAACAGCCGATTCAAACAAGCAAATCATCATCTGACGCAAATGCTGCCAAGCGAATACTAATATCTTAACATCATGTGCGCGTATCTTGCGGTTTCACGTGTAGAAATACGTCGTGGTTAATGAAAGGATGAACAGTTTCATTTGCCGCGAAACACAAATGTAACCTACCGTGACATTGTTTGGCCTTCCACGGTGGGTTCGAGATGGGTGCAAGTTGCTGTTATCGACGTTGTTGTTGTTGTTGATGTCGTTGTTGATGTTGTCAATGTTGTTGCTCATGGGCAGTAAGCAGCAGAGAGTGGTGTCAGACATCATGACCACCGCACAGAGGTCATCACCGATTTGAACTTTGACCTCATTCGAATCTATGGCATCGTTCAGGAAACTCCCCTGAAAAATTATGATAAGAATATGTATCAGACGTAGTAACGATGATGTGATGTGATGTAACGATGATGAGGATGATGACGTAATGACGTAATGATGATGAGATGTGATATGAATTTTTTTGTTCTTTACAATGCAACTCTGTCAAGCGTAGAGCTGCTTACATGTTAGTCTTTACTTGCGATTAAACTTTCGTGCCGCAAAGGCTGTCCACCATCCACACCGCACGACGCATGTACGCACGCGCAAGCCCCGCCGCATCATTCGCAGATGATGGTCTGCTGAGTTTCGGACGGACAGCATTTGAACCAGGCCATCGCGTAATAGCAGCGAGAGACATGGCACTTCTATCGACTGAGCTAACTCGGCGATGTTGTGCGACGTGACGGTAGAGGTTATGATAATGAAGGTTGATTTTTGTAACAACAAAGAAGGATAACGTTGATGCAAATAGATTGATCCAGGAATAAAACTAACGACAACAATTAGAATGGCTCTGTTTGAAGATATTGATAACGATGGCAACGATGACTAAGATGATGATGGTGACAATATTGTGATACATGATGACAATATTAGTGATATCCTTAATGATATATGATATCATGATATATATATATATATATATTAATGAAAAATACCGATAACTTCAAAGATTATAGATAATTAACACATCAGTAACTCTTTTAAGAAGACTCACTGTCAAAACGAGTGTATCTCCCTTCAGGTATTTTCTGCCCCTGGACACTTGATCCAACTGTGGATCCCTGAATGACGTCATCGTTGTTGAAAGGTTGGGGAAGTGGCGACGAATGTTTTCGCTGCTAACGGAACTGACGTTGTCCATTGTGAATGATATCAGGTACTGCGCGATGTAGTTGTTGTCGTTGTTGTTGTTGTTGCGGTTGCTAATGTCACCAATGTTGTTGTTATGGTTGTTAATGTCAGCACCATTGTTGTTGTTGTTTATTGTAGCAGTGACAGTGGTCGTGTCGTCAAAATGTTGTTGTTGCTGTGTTACTTTCAAACTTCGAGTTTGTTTTTGACGGTTTGGAAATGGCGATGAAGACGATGAGGATGGCGATGATAGAGATGAAGACGAAAGCGATGTTTTCAAATTAGGCACAGGACATATCATAATTTGGTCGTTTATTACTGTACACTGGAAGTTTAAATAATAGAAGCCAAATTATGAAAAAACCAAATTTAAAAAAATTCAAAATTAGCATGAATAGTTTTTTTTAATGAAGAAGACGAAAACTGTTAATATTTTGAAAAGATTTTTGATGATTCTTCTATAAAAACAAACGATGCTAACTTCAGATGTGAAAACATTGTTGTTGTTGTTGTCGGGTTTGTAGATATTGTTAGCGTTGTTGTTGTTAAAAATAATGTTGTCATTGTTTGTGTCAAATTTAATGTGGTGGTGGTGGTGAATGTTGTTGTTCACAATATCGTTAATGCGATAGTCGTTGATGTTATTGTTGTTGTTATTATAATCGATGTTGTTGTTGATGTTGTTGTTGTCGAAAAGTTTGTTTAGATGCATAAGAGGGTGCTGAATGGAGTGAAGATTTCTTCCACGGACAGTCACCCGCCTACCTCCGCTACAGAACAACATTGTCCATCATCATTATGTCATGTCATCGTGCCATGGTTAGTTCATCATCATCATCGGCACTTATAAACATCACCACTTCATCATCATATGTTTAACATCATCATCATCATTAATACTAATCACTATCATGTGTCATCTTTGACGCTATTGATAATCTGCGACAACATTGTTGATAGCAAATAACATTACTACTAGAAGACTGACTGAGATATTTCTAATGCATGGAGCATTTCGGTTAGAAAGGAGACTACTGATGTTTTTAAACTTGATCACTTGAGGCTTATGATGAATTATTGATTTTCAGAGGCATCAATCATATCCTAAACATCGGAGCTTTGCATTTTGCATTTCAGCTGTTTTATAAGACCACTGCATCAAGTTCAATTCCATTTATTAGCACCGAAACACTTCGAGACATTCTCAACAACAATTGAGTCTTCAACAAAAATTTTTTGTCACCACCTACCATCATCACAATCCTCATA